TCAGGCTCCTCCTGAGTAGGGGGCAAGGGTGAGAGAAAAGACCGAGATCACTGGGGATTGAACCCAGGGCCTTGCACAAGCCAAGCTGTTGCCCACCAAAGCACTGCGTCCCCAGCCACTGACAATCACTGCTGAGCGTCTGCTCTCTGCCTGCCTGGGGCCAAGGGCCACACAGATGTTGAGCAGACCTGAAGTCCTGCCCTCCCAGATGGCCAGGGCAAGTGCATCTGTCTATGGGTTGCAACCAGCCATGACCGCCTCGGAGGGTGCCGTGGGTGTGGAGGTGGACCAGCTGGGCTACCTGCTGACATGGGCTTCCTGAATGGGCTAGGTGCACCAGGAGGCAGAGGCAGGAGGGCTTCTTGGGGTCTTATAGGCAAAAGGAACCTTAGGAGCAAAGGTCCGAGGGTGAGAGGGAACACAAGCGAGAGAAACAAAGACAAGAAGACTGCAGTATGGCTGGGAGGGCTCTAGGGAAGAGGACAGACAGGAGGGGCTGTGCCACTGGGATGGGTGAATGGGCCTGACTCCCAGGGGAGAGTCTTGCCCGACTGGCATCTAAACAGGTCACTGTAGCGGCAGGGTGAATATTGGGTTACAGGGTTGCTTTGGCAGGAACTGCATCCTAATTACTTCCCTCTTTCTCACTTTCCTTTCCGGTGGCCTCAGAGATTTAAATAAATACTTGCCAGATACACAGCGGACAGCGTGCCAACAACGAGGTCCAGCGTGCCTCGAGGAAGAGCACACAGCATGAAGCAGATCCGTCTTCCCTCGCCTCTCAGGGGCCCGTGACTCTGGGCAGGTCCCTCATCCTCTCCCAAACCCTCCCTTCCTGCAGCGGGGAGAACAATGCCTACTCCACCAAGCTGGGTGAGCAATAGGAAGGGTGTGGGCACATCGCCTGGCTTTGGCAGAACTCTGCGTGCCGGCTGTGATTGACAACCATTACGGCGCTGTCAAACTAGTCAGAGGGAGAATTTTAATATGCAGCGTACATGTGAGTACTACGTATTTCTACAGATGCCCGACTAATGAGATCTTCCTAATACTTGCGTTGGAAAACAGGTTTATATTACAGATGTGATTAAAATATACGTGGATATACCATAAAGTTTTTAAAAAGTTTTCTCAGTAAATTTTTTTTTTTTTTTTTTTGAGACAAGGTCTTGCTATGCAGCTCAGGCTGGCCTTGAGCTCACTTTGTAGCCCAGGCTGGTCTCAAACTCACAATGATCCTCCTGCCTCAGCCTCCCAAGTGCTGAGATTACAGGCGTGTGCCACTACACCCGGCTGTAAATTATATTATATGTGAGCTGCTGTACATTGGCTTTTTTCCTATATGCAGTTGTTCCCTGGAGAAACCAAGCCTATTTATTAGCCTGTCTACTCCCTTCTGGACGGAATGACATGAGCTTCTTGAAGATAATGTTATTACTTCTTTCTCCAGAGCTTACTGGACAGGCTGGTACTAAGTAGTGGGGGCTCAGTAAATACTTGCAGGATGGAAAAATAAATAAAAATTGAATGAATAAATTTAACTTATGAGTCTAGCAATTATATTTTATGAACCCTATCAAGATACATTGTCTCTTCTACAGAATATGAATATCTTCAAGAGACTTTGGCATGGAGTATTTGAAATCCAGGCTACCCTGGAAACTTTCAGGATATACGATCATCAGCATATATTCGTAAATAGCCAAGTTTCTTTCGAAAGGAGTCACAAGTGAGTAGAACAAGTTCCACTGTGGGCTCGTGTGACACTTATTTTGTGCATCAAAATTGTTCCAAGTCACCAGGCGTGATGCCATCCGCCTGTAATCCTGGCACTCTTGGAGGCTGAGTGAGGAGGATCGCAAGTTTGAACACAGCCTGGGCAATTTAGCAACTTAGTAAGAACCTGTCTCAAAATAAAATACAAAAAAGGACTGGGGAGGTAGCACAGTGTGAAGGTCCTGGGTTAAATTCCTGGTACTGGAAGACGAAAAGAGTTGCACATCCTCTGCCCCCGGAGAAGGAACAATCTAGAAGAGGTTAAAAGACTGTCTAACCAGTAACACAAGGACTCAGGGTCAGCGTTTCTTTATCTCACTCGCTAGAATTGGTTGCCTTCATCAGACCTCTTTGGGCACAAAGAAAGCTCATGAGACAGCCATACATTTTGTTTGTGAAGCCCAGCTGAGCCCGGCTCAACAGAGCTTCGATTCAAAGGGGAAATAGAATATGCACCAAGTGAGCAGACCAGGAACAAAGGCTCCAGTATGACAATTTACAGGAGCGCTAAATAAGCACTCCAAATAGCATCAAGAAAGGAAAAAGCCTCAAGAATGCAGAAGAGATAAACTGGAGGGGGAAATGGAGAGGAGCTGGAAGGATCAATTTAAAAATCAATGAAGAAATTTAAGATTTTGCTTTAAAGGAATCTTTTTTAATAGTAAGGTTGAAGGTAGTATCATTTATATACAATGTTATAGACAATAAAACTTCCCTTTTGGTGTAAATTTTAATTACCACATACAAGTGGATTATTACCATCATAGTCAAGACACAAAACCCTTTGATCATCTCAAAACTCTCATGCTCCTTTGCACCCTCTCCCTTTGCTCCTAATAATCCTGATCCACTTTCCATCCCTCTAGGGCTGCCTGCTTTAAAGGGATTTAAGGGGCTGGGGTGTAGCTCTATGGCAGAGCACTTGCCTAGCATGCACAAAGCCCAGGGTTCAACCCCCAGCGCCTAATAATAATAATACTAGGAATAAGAATGAATAACAGTCAGGCGTGGTAGTGCATGCCTGTAATCCCAGGACTCAGGAGGCTGAGCAGGAGGATTGCTGAGAGTTCGAAACCAGCCTGGGCTACAAAGTAAGTTAAAGGCCAGCCTGAACTGCATAGTGAGACCCTGTCTCAAAAAGACAAAAAAAAAAAAAAAAAAAAAAGGAATGAATAACAACTTAAAGTAGGGGAGGAGACTAAGATTCTTTTCTCTCAGACCCCTACTCACTTCCTACACCATTTAAAGCATCATTTAGTGGGTTTATACGTATTAAGGTTCTATTATTTGCTGGAGATTTTGCAGATACTGTTTTTCCTTTTTACAGTTTGTCCACGAGGCCTGCATTGTCTCCATTCCTCAAATAAGAGACAAAAAAAAAAAAAAAAAGATAAGAGATGAAACTCCCTGATGAGATACAGAGCAGAGAGTTAAAATCAAGGTTGACAATGATGTTACTGTGGTTTCTATCTGGCTGTTCAACTAGGACTGACTTGTACTTTTGTCTATATTTCTCTGTATTATCAAAGTCCTGATGATGAGCTGATATAAACAGAAAAACTACTTTTTATAATTAAATAGATAAACACACTCCGTGCATGTATACAAAGGCCGATTCCAAAGCCTGTACTCTCTACTGAGCCAAGAGGGAAAGGTAGGGGAAATGGTTTAGAAGGGAATAAAGGAAAATCTCCTCTTAGCAACTGACTCCCATTCAAAGCAAGAAATCAGAGTCAGGTTTAGACAGGGAAACACATCTCAGACCTGTTCTCTGTAGCTCTAGTTACAGGGCAGCCTCTCCACCTTCAGAAAGGTCTCCAGCCCGAATATCCTTCCACAGGGCTGGAGGCCTGTGATGCCTGCAGAGATGGCTCCAGACCACAGCCACTCCGGAACATCTTTCTGTCTCATCCAAAAGACCAGGCAGGAACAAATTCATCATCCCTGAGGGAACGTGGGTGCACGGTGATCTTGCACCGCTGTTGGAACAGCAGAAAGGGCACCAGGAGACCAAAGCCAGGGGGAGCCAGGCCAGAATACAGGTCAGACTTGAACACAGAAGCAAAGCATGAGCTGAGACAAAATGTTTTTAACCCATATGTTTGACAAAGAATTAGTATTTAGAATATGCAAACTGTTCTACATATCAAAAATTAAAAGAAAAAGAAAAACCAGCTTGGACTGACTTGAACAAACATTTCATAAAGGAAGGCATATAAAAGGCTCAGAAGCACTTTAAAAGATGCTCGGTGTCAGTAATCATCAGGGAAATGTAAATTAAATCCACAGTGGGATACTGTTACCCACGTGAACAGCTCAGGAAGGGGAAAGAGCACGCTAAACGCAGGACAGCCTGACGTCCCACACGCTGTGGGTAGCATACTCGCTTCAGGAAACATCTGACAGTTTCTTATGAAACTCGATCAACACATATGCTATGGCCCAGCAATTCCACTTCTAAGTACTTAGCCAAGGGTCACAAAAATAGCTCCACAGAGAGCCTGACACCAAAACGTTCATAGCAGCTTTAATTTGCAAACGAACTGAGGGGTATCCATACCAGGGAGCGCTGCTCAGCATTCTGAAGAGACAAACTGACACGCCTGATCGTGCGGGTAAGTCTGCAAAACACTGTGCTGAGTGAAAGAAAGCATAGAAAAGAATATACTGTGTGTCAGCCGGAAGTGGGGTGCGTGGTTGTTAAGTCCAGCACCCTGGAAAGGGAGCTGGAGGATCGCAAGTTTGAGTACAGTCAGGACAACTTAGCAACTTAGGAAGATCCTGTCTCAAAATATAAAAAGAACCGGGAATGTAGTTCAGGGTAAGGGCCCTGAGTTCAATCCCCAGTACCGAAAAAAAAAAAAAGAAAAGAAAAGAAAAGAAAAAAAATAGAAAAAGGAAAACACTGTATGCTTGCATTTATGTGAAGCGCTATAAGATGCTGGGGAAAACTAGGAATAGTAGTTGCCTCTGAGGTTGTGGGGCCCAGGGAAGGGGCATGAAGGAACTATCTAGAATGACAGCAATAGTCTGTATGCTGATCATGCATTGTGCATACAAATGTTTCTGTTTGTCAAAAATTATTGAATGCTACACTTAAGTTGTATATACATCACTAGATATTAAGTGGGTTTTTCTTTTTTACAGAAAGCAGAGGCCAGATAGAGCCCTCTCTCCTGATGGGAGAAGAAGTAAGGAAACAAGGAAGAGGAGGAGGAGGAGGAGGAGGAGGAGGAAGAGGAGAAGAAAAGAGGAAGGGCCCCAGGTATTAAGTTGTATCTCACTAAAAACCAACAATAAAAAAGAACTGCATGTAACCAAATATTGGACTCTAGTTGATGATATGCAAAATAAAATGTTTAGCGGGAAAGTGTATACATGTATGGAACTTCTTTTAACATATAACAAAAAAAATATGGACTGAAGATGTAACAGGGGATGGCTACACAGATAGATTTGTGGTAAAGCATGTAAAGCAAAGGTTAATTTTAGAAACTAGAGGGTAGGCATGTGGGTGTTAGCTGAAAAATTCTTTCATGTTTTCTGGATATTTGAAGATTGTTATAATGCAAAGCTGGAGAAAATAGCTTATAATCTAGGAGAAAGGAAAAGTGAAGTTCAGACAAGAAGAATGAAGCTAATGTGAGAGTACAGTGCTATGAGGAATCACAGATCTGTTTTTGAGTCTTCTATGAGTCAAAGCAAAAAGGGGCAGGCGATGAGGACAAACAGAAGGAAAGAAAGGTGGGACAGAGGGAGGGACAGAGGGGGAGAGAGAGGCAGAGAGAGAGAGAGGAAGTGAGAGAGAAAGAGAGGGATATCTCAGTTACAAGGTTAGCAATGCCCGGGTGATTTAAAATAAATCTAGTAAAGCACCCTCTTTTTGGGTGGAGGGGAGCCAGGACCTCACAGTGTTGCCAAGGCTAGCCTGTAACTCCTGGGCTCCAGTGTGTCTCCTGCCTCAGCCTTCTGAGGAGCTAGGACTCGAGGCATCGCCGCCCAATCCAGCTTCAGCATGTGTTTGGGAAAGCACTGCTTCTGGAGAGCAGACCACCATGTGGTTGTCTTAAGATACGGGCATGGCACAGACACTTTCCTCTTTAAACAAGCAGGATACGTCTTGCCTTCTCACATCACAGACCACAGATCATGCTTTGGGGCTAATATAGCCGCTCTATTCTAGAGAGCAAGTGGGAAAAATAAGTGAGTGGAGACCCCAAATTCTACAACATAGAAAATGGTTGCAATGATTTAGCCAAGAAAAAAATTATACCAAAAGATAGAAAGAAGCTTGAAAATCTCTACGACATAAATTCTAGCATTTAGCTCATTCATCTACTTGGATACACCCTGCTAAATTCAGTCTTCGAATATGTACCATATGCTAGGTATCACAGGAAATGATAATAATAGCTTTCTTATACCATATTCCAACAATTCTAAGCTGCATTTTTTGCACATTTTCACATTTCCAAAATTGGGATAGGTATTATAATCAATCGCATGTTATAACTGGTAAAAATTGTTTTTTTCTTAATAGCACATAAAAAAAAAAAAAGGGATCTTCACGGTGTTTGTTTATTTATCTGCTTGAGACAAGGCCTTACTCTGCAGTCAGGCTGGACTTGAACTCTCTTTATGCCCAAAGCTAGCCTTGAACTCCCATCCATTTGCTTCAGCCTCCCCAGTGCTGGCATTAAAAGCTTGGTTCACCATGCCGGCAAGCAACTTGGATTTATTAGAACACAATTTCTAGTCCTTTGCAGTTCAAAATATATGCATCTTATTTGAACCTTACTATATCATATTTTGGTGAGGTGGGTAATTATTCCTATTCTAAATATAAAAATTGGGATTCATGGAGGTTAAGTGATCTCATTCCAAGATCCTCAGCTAGAATATAATGAAGCTGTAACTCTAATCTAAATATACTGGTTTTTGCACTGGGCATGGTGGCACACACCTGTAATCCCAGCACTTGGGAGGCTGAGGCAGGAGGATTATTGTGAGTTCCAGGCCAGCCTAGGTTACAAAATGAGTTTAAGGCCAGCCTGAACTGCATAGCAAGAACCTGTCTCAAAAAAAAAAAAAAAAAAAAAAAAAAGACTAAATATACTGTTTGTCTTCCAATGTCACACAAAATATTTATAGAATGAAAACTCCATGGAAACAAAGGCTTTGCTTTTATACATTCCTGTGGTACTGGAGTATAAAGCATTGCATGACATATAGGAGCTATTTCATGAATACTGATGATTGAATAAATGGGTGGATATATTACGTGACAGAAGTGAATGAGAGATCAAAACGGAGAGAACCCTGTGGGTTGCTATGGGCTGGGAAGTCTAGACAGGGGGTGACTCTCCTGCCTTTTTCTTTGCTGTGATGAATTCTAGTAGAGGACTCAAACATCCATAGTACTTTCTTCCATGTCTTTCAGGTTAAGCCAAAACAATCTAGTACAAAGCATTCTGGGCTTTGCCTCAGAGGACCTGGGTTATTTCCCTAGCATAAAACTTTGGGAGACAGGAAGTACCTTTCCTGAGCCTCAGTTTCCTTCTATGTATTCGAAATCAGGAACAGCAGAATCCATTGAGCTGCATCCTCATGGCGGAAGTGACGCTGGCTGCAGTGTGGCGACCTGGCGCCCGAGAAGTCACCCTCGGCAGCACAGTCTCCTTCCAACATGCTCCACTTGAGCTTGGTAAACACTTCTTTTTCACACTTTACACTTTCCTCCCAAGAGACTGCAAATTTTAAAAAAAGATAAAAGGCTCTGTTTGGTTTATATACACCTCTCCAGACCTCAGGAGAATACTTGACACATTTTAAGGGCCCTGAAATGTTTTGAAGGTTCATTCATTCATTGATTAAATCCACACATATTTACTGTGTGCCTGCTGTGGGCCAGGACTTTCTGATCACTGAAGATGCAGCAATGAACAGAACTAACAAAGATCCCTGCCCATGGGCCAGGAAAGTAGTCCAGTGGTTGATTCTTGACTAGCACACACAAGGTTCTGGGCTCCATCTCCAGCAGAGCAAAAGAAAAAAATAAAATTCCTGCCTTCGGGAAAAAAATGGATGAGACATGAATAAATATATAACGCATGACGGTAATTGTGAAATAAAACAGGGAAGTGGGGGGGCAGCCAAGGGTGACTTGCTGCAAAATTAATTTGGATTAAAAGCCTCACTCCTGTGGTAACATTTGAGAGGAGACTCCAAGGAAACAAGGAGAAAACCATACAGACAACCAGATTAAATCTGAAGGGCAATTTCAATATTTGTAGGAAATATAAATGGAAAAAAGCAGACAGAACATTCTGAAAGGTGGGCACATGTCACCAAAACCTTAATAGAGTCCAGAAGGCTGGCGTGGGCAGTGTTATGTGGGCAGTGAAGCTGGAGGGTCGGGGGAGGGGGGGTCAGGCTGTCTGGGGGGAAACTGCCTTTCACCTGTGATCCTGGGGAAGCGCTGAAGGCTTGGGAGGAGGTGGGGGCGACAGGAAGGTTCCTCCAGGAGGATGGAAGGATGGCCCAGGCAGGGAGCATAAAAGCAGTTCTGTATGAGAAATCTTGAGTTTGACATCATGGTTTTTTAAAAAAACAGAACCTGATTGGCAAAACAGTTCAGAGAGAACAAGGTTTATGACTTGAGGGTGTAGCTCATCTAAATCCAGACGGTTATATAATCATCTTTCGAGAGCTGCAGACTCTGTGAGCAACAAACAGACCTTGTCAGAATTTCGCTTCTGGCCTAAGAACTGGTACAGCATTCCTCTTTGGAATTTTCCAAGCTTAGGCCAAGACTAGACAACCACAGTCAGCAGTAATGAGAATGATATGCAGGACCTGGCGGGAGACAGGCCAGCAAAATCAGGTCTTGTAGCAAACAGCCCCTGAGAAGTGGGGTGCAATATGCCTGGGGGGGCTCCTACCAGGGATAAATCTGCAAGAGCCTGCATCATGCCAGATGCTTCTACCTTATGGGAAGGCTTTTGCTTAAAGCTTCACTATGTGAAATGATTTAGACATCCTTCAGCAAGCAACATGCCAATGATTCATCCTGTCCAAAAAGCATACAGCCCCTCACATTCGACTTTTCAATCTAACACTGGTTGGAAATATCAGGGAAGGAGCAAAATTCTCCCTTTGACATTTGGAATGATTTCTCATTTACCCTCTAGCAAGCTGGAAGGGGTGGGGGTTGCTGTGAGTGGTGCAGGACCAATGAGAGGGTTTGTAAAACATAGGGAGAAAAGATACAGGAAGGCAGGAAGCAGTGACATCTTTATATAAGGTGCACGAGCCCAACTAATATGCTTGTGCCTGTGTGACAGTGGAAATCTACCACTGAGAAAGGAGAAAAAGAAATGTCACTGAATGAACTTAGTTCTCACTGACGAAAGCGAAAGGCTGCTGTTTTACCTAGAATTCCAACCAGGTGTGTTATGTGCCTATAGTTAGCTATTGGCTGCTGGAGATGAAAGAGAATAAAGAAATACAAAAAGAGGGGCCTGGGCAAAAAATACATAAATAGAGCTGAAGATGTAGCTCAGTGGTAGATTGCTCTTGGGTTCAATCCTCTGTACTGGGAGAGACAGGAAAGAGAGGGAGAGGGGTAAGGAGAGACAGAGGGAAAGGGAGGGGGAGGAGGAGGGGGAGACACAGAGAGACAGACAGACAGACAGACAGACAGAGTCAGAAAGAGAGAAAACAGAGACAGAGGAGAGGGATGAGAGACACTTTTTCTTGAAATACGTTATCTTAGCCCACAGATCTTCAAACATTTTGCTTACATAACTCCCAAAAGAATTTTTAAAGCCATGTAACTCCTCACATATTTTAAGCCAACATCTAAAATTTTTCATCATAAGATAAAATAAGACAATGATGCTCTGTAATTGGGATAAATATTTCATGATACTTCATGGATAAAAACAGGTTTTAACTTCCTAAGGAATAAAACAGCCCAGATCTGGGGGGAAAAAAAAGTATGTTAACATTTTATGAGTCAGTTTTATTCAATGTTTTTCCAGAGCTTTGTCTGTCCTACAAGACCCTGTAGTGCACTGTAAGAGAAGGCATTGTTAACTTATACTGTTCGGCTGCATCAAGCCCGGAGCTTCCCCCAAAAGCCAAATGCCTACCTGCGAGGCCGGGTTTCTCCCTTCACAGGAATGTATGTTCCACAGGCAAATGAAGGCAGCCCATGGGTGCAAGACAATCAATTAATAAGTAAAAATGTCTTCCCCAAACCAAGATTTCTTCCTTGTAGCTTTTTTCACTTTTATATGTTTCTATAAAAAATAGAAACCCTTTCCTAAAATAACACAGTCACATCTAACAAAAATATTCAGTCCATATGAACAGTTCTTGTGTCCCCCAAATGCCCTTTATGGTTGGTTTTCCTAAGCCAGGATCCAAGCCTGGGCCATCTACTGCATCTGGTTTTTCTGTCTTATGTCCCTTTTAGTCTAGAAGACTCTCAAGGGTGCAAAAAGTGATTTGTGGACCATGAAAAAAATCTTGCTCTTTTTGCCTACAGAGCACAGATATACATACAGTATACAGATATCTACACAGGATACAGTATTGTGGGGTGATGAACTAGGGGGATATGTCTAAAAACACTCTTGTTTGGCAATAATGGGGAAGCTACAGGCTTGGCTGGGGTTCCAGGGTGACAATGTCAGGCCAGAGGTGAATGACAGTGGGCATGGGCTGCAATAGCCCATGTGTGTCCTGTCCCAGGCCTCCAAGTGGGAAAAGAACATAGAGCTGCTCCCCTGCTTTACATCAGCTTCCTGGATCTCACATGACCCAGAGCTAGGCAGGGAATTCTGGGTGTTCTAGCTCTAGTGTCGATGAGCTGACTCCCAAACCCACCAGTAAGGGACTCTATACTCAATTTAAGGCCCACTGGTGGCCAGGATAGCAAAGGGCCAGGGAACACAGCTCTGAAAGCTGTGTTTGGGAGTTCTGGATTAGGTTTATATATAGCCTTGTTGCATATTCTAAAAGTGAACATGTTAAAGCTAAACCCCAGCAGCTAGAAGGGGATATTACTGCATTCCCCCAGGGCTTAGGCAGTAGAAGAAGGAGAGGGAGGGGGGATCTTCAGTCTTATAGGGCATAGGTTGGGAGGGAGATACTGGCTATTAACCCCTCTGCGGTTTGTTTATTCATCCATAAAAGAAATGGATAATACCCACTTTGCAGGATTCTGAGTATTACAGGACAATAGCGTACACAAAGTCCAAGTGCACAGTGCCAGCAAATAGGAAGTGCTTAATAAATGACAGTCATTATTTCAAAAATATCTTTCCAATTAATGAAGTTAGATTGGTATGTTGGGTCCACTGGATCTTTGGAAGCTCACACAAGCCAAAGGCTGGTTAAACTGGAGGTCAGAACTCACAGAACCGTCAGTGAACATCCTCTACAAGCAGAGTTCTCCGCGTCCTCGGATTGCAAGAACAGGCGGGTAAAACCTGATAGTCCCAATTAGTCCACTTCCGATTGACAAACGCCATCATTAGCTGCGGGCAGAGACAGGGGTTGATAGGAAATCAGCTAGATGCTGCTCTTGCTATTCAGTATTTCCCGAAGGCAGATGCCTCCTTCATGGTTCATGCCTCAGAGAGCTGGAACTGACCTGGAAATGGTGCAGGCAAATAGTTGGGAAGGATAGAAAAAGGTCATTCTTGTCCTCTCAGAGTTTGGATCTCTCCCCCATCCCGTTCTCTTGCTCCAGTCTATAATTTATAGGCCACAAATGCGCTTCATGGTCAGCAACCACTTGGCCCTGAATTAGTCAAGACTTTGTGGTTGCAAGAAACAGAAACCCAAGTCAAATTATCTTTAAGTAAACAAGTAAATAGCGAGGAAGGAAGGAGGTTATGGCTTTCTATCTGTTTGGCTCAGCCGTGGGTAGCCAAAGGGGAGTGGACCTTGGGAGATGGCAGTGCCTCAGTAGTACAGTCAGATCTTTGTGCTTCCCCCAATCTGTGTAAGGGTTACATTCTCTCCTCCTATAGATAAGCTTGCTCACCATCCTATGGTGGAAGAGCATGGTTTCAACAAGTGCTGGTCATAGCATCACCATCTAGGGTTATCAATGGAGAAAACTTCGATCCCCCAAAGTGTGCATGCAGATTCCCAGAGAAGGCTCTCATTGGCTGAGGTTGTTGTAGCTGAGTTCATGGTGACCGTGGTTCCCGAGCCTGAGCCTCACGCTTACCTGGGGGCTGAATACTGATCTGGAGCCTACTAAAGCCACAAGAAGAAGGGGCGAATCGCTCTCTCCAGAGGAATAAAATGATGCACCAGGAGGTGGGGTGGAGAGTTGAGTAGACACACCTGACAGGTGCCTGTTACTGATTGTTTTTGTCCCAAGGTTTCCAACAGGAGTCTCAGAAGACAAGGAGTATATTTACCATCACAAAGGAAAAGCTCCTTGCTGACAGAAAGAAGAGAAAGAGCACTGACTGAATAGTTTGTCATCAGATCTTCACGGATGAGTGCACCGTCTCTCCATGCCTTCAGGAATGTAATCTCCAGGAGTCTGACTGTCAGGTCTACCAGCCCCAAACCCTTAGGGGATGAGTTCACCTAGCTCACTGGGCTTCTGTAAGAATTCTATGAAAAAAGCAAATAAAATGGATAGTCCAAAGCCTGATGCACAGAAAGTTACTTTATGAATAAAAGCAGTATTCATAGAGCATCCACCTCCCAGCTACACTCTGAGGTCTATTTCCTGCTTAGGGTCTTTTTCTGGCACAGGGAGACCCATGCGGCAAGTTAATGCTCCACACATTTTAACCTCCAGGAGTCAGGAGAACAGTCCAACTTCCTCACCCCTAAGTAGGGTGGCTTGGAGATTTCTGGATGCTTGCACAGTCCCCAGCAGGACCTCACTCCAACTGATACCTCCACTCCAGAAGCTCCTGTTGCTCCTGCTTCCTTTCCCTTCCTGTATTACCACCCATTCCTCTGCCAGTGCTTCATGCAATCACCTCCTGAATAAACTACTTACATTTGAATCCTCCACTCAGAGTGGGCCTCTGAGGAACCCAAAGTAGGACAATGAATTCACAAAGGAAGTCCAAGAGAAGATCCTCAGCAGAACGTCCACCGTCATCATTCTACGCCTGGTGGGATTTAAGCTCTTTTCCTCTTTGTTGTCTGAGTTTAAAATATTTTCCACCACGGAAGTACAAGGGAGTGATCAAGATATATGACGAATGTTTAAATTAAAACATTATTACAGCAGAAGACACACTGCCAATAATGATGGGATAAATGTGTTCAAAGCAAGGGGGAGTATTTTAAGTATTCTAAAGATGATTAATGGCAATGTGTCTTTTACTGTAATGAATTTTAATTTAA